GGGCTCTGTCCCATCTGTCAGTGTCTCTTTGATGTGCAAATACGAGTGTTTGAAATTCCCTTGATCTCAAACAATGATAATACTGCCTTAGCTATAGCAATAGAAGTTCCTCTTTGCTGATACAAGGCAACACACATTTAGCTGATTACATGCTGGGACCTCCACAATATTTATAGCATCCATGCTTTCCTAGATCTCAGTCTACATGTCTCAGAATCCACATTCAGTGTTTATGACTGTGATAAAACATATGCTTGTTCAAACAAGTTTATCCTATCAGTCTATTCAAGGTCTGCAGAGACACACTAGTTTGTGCAACTACTGTATTACAGCATTATTTATCACTATTGATATGAAAATACTTACATTTTCAACACTTACTTTATGTATTTTGTCTAGATTTGCAAGATAGTGAATCTTTGTGCCCACTAAAATAATCTGTTTGTGTATTTCCTGTGCCTCTGTCAGTATAATCATCAACTTTTAATTCCCTTAATATGACATATTTTACTGGAATTCCAGTCACATGAAATGGAGTGTATATTCAGAGGTGAGCTTTCAATATTTTTTATAATCTACCTTTTGTGATAAATAAAAACTTTGTCTCCCAAAGCAATCAGTCATGTACCACTGGGCTTTGTTCCATCATTTGGCACCATCATCACTCTCTACCTTTGACATGAAATAGTTTTGCATTTGCAAGTCCCTAAATGGACAGGATGAAATCTTTGTCTCAAATCCCAGTATTTATTCTAGAGCAACTTGCCCAGATGAGGATAAGCACCCATCACTCATGTAACCAGTTCCTTTCAGATCAGTCTGACACCCAGGAAAACAAGAAGCTTTGGGAGGATGTCATAGGCCGTGGTCAGCAGTAATATCAGCTTGCTTATTTATAGTACTTTTCCTCCAGAAGAACTCTGAATGCAAACATGAAGGCAAAATTAAGAAAGTACAAAGTAAGAGCAAAGCATTGATTGAGTAGTGGGGACACCAGACTGTGTCTAAGGAATGAGGGGCAGCACTAATTATAAATGTATTTGCTTTTATTGTCATGTTTTAGAACTTTAATGGTCATCTAATGTATTTTTTATGAGATGAATATATTTCTTTCAAAATCTCAGGAACATGTGCAGCTGCTTTTAATTTCAATGGGAGTTGTGAAAGCTCATTAGTCTCTAGATATGTCCTTCAAATGTATTTAATTAAATATATAAAGAAGCTAACCAGAAAGCCTGAAGTGGCTGAGACACAGTTAGCACCAAACCATCTTTCCTGCTCTTTTTATCCTAGGAATAGTCATGAGTTGGTCAATTATCACTTTGAATTAAACTAATTGCACAACTTCCTGGGCTGAAGTGGGCTGCAGATCGTGTGTCCCACTTTCCCATCTCCTGCAGTGATCCTTTGCCTACACAGTGGTGGAACAGAAGCAGCACTGCCACAGATATTTCAGCGTTAGCTCGGAACAGACAAACAGTAACAGAATGTTTGTGGCAGCTTCACCATTTCTTTGAACCACCTTTATCCCAGAACATGAAAATAACCCAAATTTTCAGCTGACAGACAAAGTACTAATCCATTCCGTGCCTCACATTTTACAGACATTGCATAATTTTTTGGCACCCAGCCATAAAAATTCTCATTTGAAGGAATGCTTTGTGGAATGACAACGCCCAGAAGCAGGGCTTGCAGGACTTGAAGTGACCAGCCTCTCTGGAGCCCCCTAACCTTATCCCAACTAAGTATGATGGAAAAATAGTTATTTTATAGTCATGGAGAACTTAGTAAGCTTTCTGTAATGGAAATGGAAACACAGTGTCCCTGCCCTAAATAACTCACTTGAGTTGCAATGCCATGAAGGAGGATGGGTAACAAACCAGAATAGAACAAGGAGTTTTTGGGAGGAAGCGCACACTAGTTTTGACGAAGTCATGCATAAACTGAGGAAGTATAAAGCCATATTCAGAAGAACATCACTCACTTAGCAAAGGCCTTGCATGGCAAGGGACAGGCAGAAGAAAAGGATTTTTAGGAAAACTGTAAAAGCAGATTTTTTTTTCCCTCACAATTTTCTTGGGGGTTTGAAAAAAAAGTGGATGAATATGGAAAAAGCATGACAGAATAGAGCAGCACACTGCCTTACACAGGATGTTCTGAGCATGGAGGAATCAGGCTGGTGGGGGAGCTGCAGCTGCAGGTATGTGCCATGCTCTTGCTGGCGCTGCAGCAGGCTTGCCTCGGGAGCGCATTTACAGCTCCCAGGGTTTCCAGGAATATCAGGAACAGGTGAAATGGCACAGCAGGACAAAGAGGTCCTGGGGATTATTACAGTGAGGTGCTGGAAGTGGTCACAAGACATAAGACATGAAGAGCATTGGGGAGGGCAGAGAAAATAAATATTTCACAGTAGCATGTCACTGATAACATGGCATCTTCCAACCTATTTGGGAATCTGGACCTAGCTGTCTAAACCTGCTCCTGTTTTTCTTCATTTACTTTTTCTTGTGGAATTTGCCTTCATTCTCTTTACCATCACCTTTAAAGTACTGCTGCAAAATATTTCCCTCCTGCACACACTGTGAGAGAAAGAGGTTTTCCTGATTTTCCATTTAATTTGCTGCCTGCAAGCCTCACCTTTACTTCACCTCTTAGTTTTTTCTTCAACTGTTGTTAATTTTATTGATACTATTTTGCTGTCAAGCTCACTGACAACCATTTCCAGGAGACAATACAGAAAATTCAGCATTTTGTTTCATTAAGGATTTATTCAGTGGATTCAGATTTCCCTTTGCCGGGAAGTAGCTGTTTCAGAAGACTGCTGTTTAATATATAAAAGTCAAGAGATACAAAAATAAAATAAAAAAAAAAATATTTGGAGTAAGTAAAATAAAAATATGCATCATACTCAGAATAGGTAGAAAGCTTCCTACTTGTTTGTCCCATGCGTAGGGGAAAAATGCAGGAGTTATTCCCTGGGAGATCACCATGAGCTGTGCAAGTAAGAACACTGTTTTGTGCATTGTAAGGTAGCTTTGCAGGATGGAAATACCAGACAGAAATAATTTCCTAAGAGTGTGGTGGCTGATGGTGGATAAACAGGAGGCACTCAGAGCTGAACTAGCAATGAACTCTTCTCTAGGATGGCAGGGCTGGCAAGATGTCAAAGCCCATTATCCCCTCTGGAAAGGCAGAGGGAGATACCGAAGCAGACAGACGCTCCCGTAATTCCTTGTCTAAACTACATTATTGATCTCTGTCAAGATCCTCTGCCTCCCTCTGGGTCTGGCCTGCATGAGGCAAAGCTGCAATGAGCAATCCAAAGCACTCAAATTACAAGAAGAGCTGTATTGATAAAAAAGCCATTTTGGGCTTTTTACCTTAGCTGTAACTATGATAGAAATCTCAGGGTTAGGCTCTGCAGCCCAGTGGGCAGATCATGATGAGATCATTGAAAGTGATAAATTCCTACATGTGCAGGCAAATTTTCAAAAGCAGTGCTTGAAGTGAGATGCCTTTGCTTTTGCTCAGCCTGAGGTTCCTATATCTAGACGCAGATTTTTTGCATCTCTGAGCACTTCTCTGATCTCTCTCAGAGTCAGGAACCAGCTGTTCTGAAAATCTAGCCTGGGGTGAAATTTGGACCTGCTGTAGTTAAAAGGAATTTTTCCAGGATTTCATCTGATGTAACTAGTTCTGAACACTGAAGAATTAAGTGCTTAAAATGTGATGAATGCATTTCCTGGTAGGCAAAATGGAGAAAACTTTTAGCCACTTCTGTAAATTTTATTACGATATCTGAAAAGCACATTTGTGTGATTGGAAAAAAACCCCAAAACATCAGTGAAATCTTCAAAAACTCAAAAGAAGGATTTCTAAAACTTGTCTTATATGCCTTTAATTTAATTTAGATTTCAGTTGCCTCCCTTGAAACAAGAAAAATGTTAAATTTTTTTAATTTTTTTTTTTCTGTATTTACATAAATTAAAATTGTTAATAATGACTGTGAAGCCTAGTCCCTGGGGCACATGGCACATGTGGGATGCCAAAAGGGCCAGGCCTCAGACTATTGAAATAGCCTCTAATGAGGGAGAGCATTTATCATATATATTTCATTCTAGACATGGCATATAAAATATACTTAATTCCAAAATTCAAGTTTGTAACTGCAAGTCTGTTAACTTCCTAAGATAAAAAATAATTACGGGGGAAGAATAAGCTCTATGAATAACTCTGGGGAGAAGAAGCTCTATGGAAAACTCTTCTACGTAGCAGGGAGGAATCAATTTCAGACAAGCATAAGAGTCCTCCATTAGCATTTGTGCAGATCCTAAACAGTTACACAAGAATGCAGCTCAATGAGATTTTCTGAATGATAAATAATAAGGGTCTTGAGACGCATCATTTGCATTCAATAATAGCTAGAAAATGCCTTAATAAAAATGAGCAGTAGGAATACAGGGATGGTAGGCTGCTCACAAGATAGGATTCTGGATATGGGGGGGTTCCACAGCTGTGTCCTAATTTAAGGGTCTAATATAAGAAAAAATTAATCATACCCCAGAATATCTTTTTTTTCTCCACTGTCTGTAAAATGGACAGCACTCAGCTGGGACATCCACATTGTACCACTGGGCACAGAAGAACTGTTCCTTCATAAAGAAACAGTTTATTACAGCAATCATGTGATTTTTCTTCATATACCTCATTATATTAGCTTAGCCTCCAACTACCTGTCATAGTTTCTTAAAGTTTTAGTTATCAGGAATTTGGTAGGACTTTACACTGAATTCCAGTGCTTTCTATCTCATTGCTCTGATGGTTTCTGGGAGTATATAAGCAATTTTGCAAAGTCTCTCCCATTACTCATGTGGAAAATGTACAGGATCTCTCTGTTAAATGTTAGATTAAAAATTAGGTAATTAGATTAATGACATTCTGTCCTTTTCATCATGGAATAGTCTTAAATAATCCATTTTTATCTCCTCTCTTGGTTCAAGCTTTCTTTTGGGAGAATAGCTGCTCTCCTTTGCCATTCCTGGGCTGGCACTGCTCACCAGTCTCTGAGCAAGAAATCCAAGCCAAACACCACGTCCAGTGGTTCCTGTCTGGAGAGGACATGGGTCTTCCACATTCAGCTGTAGTGAAGAAGAGTATAATAAAATAAAAATGAATACAAGATTTTGTTGTTACTGTCTTCAATATTTCTGTTTCTCCTGAGGTAAGCAGTAGTATTGTCTATCCAGTATATTTTATCTTATTGCTTCATTGCTCTTATCTCAGACAGTATTTAATCCAAGCTAGGGTCAGAAGATTGCCTTGTAGTCTAATTGGAGATAAAAGAAATCTAATTTTAAAGACTTTTTATAGGCCATGTTTTGTGAATATTTCCTTGACAGAGGAACAAGTATTTTTATAAGCTATGTTTTCAGAGTAGTTCAGTTGCTTAAGGGTATTAGCCAGTGCACATTAATTTGCAGTAACATTTTAAAGCTTTAGAAGAAGATTCTCCCTAGATATTTGTGCCCTGGTGAATATCACATAAAGGAAAAGGAATATGTTTTTTTTAGAATATTTTCTCTTTTTTTTTTTGTACACCCTGAGTTCAGCACTTTTCCTTTGTATTATTGTCTGTAAAACAGATCTCAGAGGTAACTTTACAAAGTGTCTCAGGATTATATTAGCTACCTTAGTGGACTGTTGTGGGAACATTCCTTTTTTAGAAATGTAGCTTTTACCATTAACTTCTACAGGGAAGAAGCTGAAAGGTGTAAGTGAATGATGCCCTGCCAGGCATGACTCCTGATTGCTGTGGCAGGTGATTTGGAAAGGAAAGGATGGTAAGATGGGGCAGAGAAGCTGAAGTACACATATCCATTGTGTTTTTTCTGTGGAAGACACAATGCTCAAGAAATGATGCAATGATGCAAATCATGTTTCCAAGGAAAAAGCAGAAAATCAAAGCATTCTGATAGTAACTGTGGTGACATTATGGCATTCTGGAGCCAGGATAATACAGGAATGGGGGACAGGGCATGTGAAATATTGCCAGTGCACAGCTATAGCCTCTCTGTTCTAGGGAGCGTGGACCAGCTCCTGGCTACATGTGGGGCCCTTGCCATGTGGCATACAGGGCAAAGGGAGTGTTTTCCTTGTGTGGGAAATCACAAAGATGCTGCCCTGTAGACTTCTGGTAAGCCCTGTCTTCCCCTATTCCAGCTTTGAGGTCTTTAAAGAATGTGATTCTTGGATCTTTAGTCCATCAGAAAAATTATGTGGCTGCAGCCCAGTGAGATCTGCGTGGGAAAAGCAGAATTCTTCTCACCTAATTTATGATGTCTCTGCCTCTGACGTAGATAATCTGCATCTGTTCCACTCACTGTAGACTCCCTTGGAGTCAATGAGGAGGAATAAACACTTTTAGGACATGAATCATCTGATGCATTTTAGACATTTACATTAGAGCTGGATCACTTGCACTGTAGCACTGCCTATTTCCTCTCTATTTGATTATAGAGAGAACTTGGCTCAGAAATAGATGTCACCATCTAAAGTTAGGTGGGATGAATCCCACACAGACAGCCTGTTGTAGATGTGATAACTGAATGGGAGACTCAGGAGCATCTTTTTTTTCATGGTGTTCTGAGAAGGAAGCCTAGAAAGGGACTGAGAAGGGGGCGATGACCATGTTCTAGAAAAATCTGCGTGGTTCAGAGAATGGAAAGTATGAGAGCTGGAAAGATCTGGAAAAGGGGATAAATACTGTATTGAGATGATTGCAGCTGATAACAAATTTTTCAGAACAGTCTAATCTAAAGCTGAATGCAAAGAGCTGTAGCAGAATCTCATAATACTGTGTAACCAGATAATATAATGACAAATGAAAATTAATGCTCATAAGTGAAAAGTAATGCAAATGGAATAAAAATAAATCAAACTATTCCTATATATTAACAGTCGCTAAATTAGCTATTGCTATCCAGGAAACAAATTTTGGAATACTGTGAATAGATTTCTGGAAACATCTGATCAATGCTCATGGAAGGTCAAAAGAACAAATGTAACTCTATGAACTATTGAGAAAGGGATGGAGTAAACTCAGAAAATGTTCTTATGTCACTGAATAAATTCACAGTGCTTCCACAGCTTGAAGGAGTGTATAGTTCTTCCCCAGCAGCCTCAAGGCAGGTATTAGAAAGCTGGAAATGAGATAGAGAAGGGCTGCAAGGTGATCAAAGAGTCACAACAGCAAAGACAGACTTCAGCTTTCCAGTCTGAAAAAGAGATGGATGAGAAAGTAATATGATAAAAGCCTGTGGTATTATAAATGGTTTAGGGAAGGTGAATTGGGAATTCTTACATGCAATTTTTTTGTCCTTGGGGCTGAGAAGATATCCAATGATATTATCAACAGTGAATTAAAATAAAAACAACACAAAAGGAGTATTGTATTTTTTACAATATTCAAAATTAAGTCATAGTGCTATTTGCAAGAAAAGGCCTAGGGGATTAAAAAGTAGATATTAGATGAAATAGAAAGTATCAACTTCCTGAGTATTAAACACTGTGATCCAGTAAAAGTTCCCAAATATTGGCTCTTAAACAGCTAATTGCTGGAAAGCTGCATTTATTTTATGACTGTGCTTTTATTATCATGGGATACCTCTGTTTCCTGAAATACTGGCTAATACGTGATGTTGAGTCCATGCTCTGGGCTAAACTGGCATTTAACCTTAATGCAGTGTGGTGCTTTTTGTGTTTCTAAGTGAGACAAGAGATTGAGAAAAAGCCAAAAAGGAACATGTTGGAGGAGGTCAACACCCATTTTCAATGGGAAAAGCCATTTGACTTGGGGGAACAGGTGTAATTTATTGTTCTTTTTAGTTCAACGTTATTGTGAAGGCAGAGATCTTAGCCTTAGCTGAGGTGTGTTCTGGGTGAGCAGCCCTACTTAAGTACCATATCAAAACCACTGGCACTTCAGGCACAAAGAGCTCAGAGCAACATGGACAGCTGGGGCTGGATTGCAAAGCAACGGGAGGATTACTTCCCAAGGACTGCAGGATGGACTTTCCTCTCTCTCTCCACCCACAGTCATTATGCACAGTCCTGGACATTTAAAGGCTGAAGTAAATACAACAGACCCTGATTTATTCCTTTCCTAAAGGTGCAGTCTGTTAAAAACTAAGGTAAGAAAGTCTAGAAACCTGAGGGCAGAAATGCGGTTTTCTAATAGGATAACCAGGTGGTGGATAATGACATCTTCAGGGGAGTTGAATTATAAGTGTAACTTTTTTCCCTGTGATTGAACACACTGGAAAGGCTTTAGGTCTGTCTGTGTCCTGAGTTGCTTATTCCATAAATGCTGTTTACATTATAATGATATAATCAGGATGGCTTAATGATGTGATTAAAAAACCCTTCAATTCTTTGGTTCACATTTTTGTCTGTAGACATGGATTTTTCTTTGCCTGGTATTAGCATGCAGAGTTGGAACTAAGTCTTAACCTCTTCTTACTGCATTCAGGAAATCAATTTGTTTTGCTAAAATGAAATGGACATACAGTCTCAAGCAGCTGCATTCAAGTGTGACTAGAGATACTCTGACTTCACCAAGGTGTCAAAAAGTGTTCTTACTGCCTGCATTCTTTTAAACGGAATAAAGTAATTTAGAAAATGTCATACTGAATCTACTGAATTGATGGCAGTCTTCAGCAGAGTTTGGGATTGCACCCAAAGGGTCATTCTGTAAACAGTAAGATGGGGAAAAAAAAAGAGAAAATGCATCCTGATATTTAATCAAAATTCATTTATCTCTCCAGAATCACATCTGCAGTTTCCAGTGATTATTATCCTTCCCATGCTTCTCCCCCACTTCATTAGCATTCAGCAGAGTAAGGATGGTGTTCTTTCTGCATTATCTAGTACCTACAGCCCTGTTTACTTGATTCCTCCCCCAAAAGTTTAAAAAACTCTTTCTGGTGAAGCTGCCAACCACGTGGGCTTTTAGATTCCTGGTGAAGTTGTCAGGACTGGCATAAACCAATTTGAATTTATAATTTCTTACAAATTAGGGCAGATTTGGCTTGGCAGCCTGTGGAATGTGATAAACATGGAATTCCAACAACAGTAAGTGTCGTTTCAAGAAGCAGACGAATAATGTAAAGCTAACCTTTTATTTCACAGCTTTGTTTATCATAACCAAATTATAATAATTGTAAGTATAGATTATAATGGAGTTCTGCTCACATTGAATGACAATCAAGGCCACATAACATGGTAGTTTTGTTTTGTAGTAAGGCTACACCTTTTATTTTGCAACCTTAACCTAAGAAAAGTGACAGGTGCTCATGGAGTCTTCTGCACTGCAGCTAAAGCCATCACACACATCATTGCAGCAGGAGTCAAGTCCAATCCATCATCTAGGCAGGAGTGGTGGGATGAAGAGTATGGAATATAAAGTGACAAACATCATTTGGGTGCAAAGTATTTCTGGGAATCAGTGTGTTGTCACTTGCCTTACAGTGTACCATGAGCAAATCTGCATCTGTTATGCAACCATTTTATCAGCAGAACCTTAGCATAAAGTATACCTCAAGAAAACGCTAAAAAAATAAAACTTTTCCTTAGAGACATCAGGGGAATTTGTCAGAAGCAAGAGTTTTACAGCTGCCTTGCCAGACTTGATCTTGAGAAAGTGAATTTCTACACTTAAGCCCAAAACATTGTGACGCCTGTCTTCTGCTCTTGATTCAACAACCTTTATATATAAAATAATTCTGCTGTTTTCAGGATTTTCTTTTCATGGCAGAAGTAACATTTAAGGGAGCTCAGAAACCCCCCACCGAACTCAGTAGGTGTTGCAAGCGCATTTCGGGTGTTCAGGTTAATGCACCTAAAATCAGTTTCATTGTTTCTACAAAGTGTTACATATAAGTGCAGCATTATAAATGCCCATAATTGTAGATTATTTTAATCTTTAAGGTTTTAATAGTACTACTACACAGATATTCTCTGATTCGTAAAAAATGCTTTCATGATCTCTAATTTGCTTTTAATGAAGACCTTGAGATTGCAGTCTATGATCCCCTTCTTTGTTTTCCAGTAGCCTTACTTTTCAAGAATGATTTTGAATTAAACCTCTTATTTAGGTACTTTTTCTTCTGTTTTCCTTACACGATATTTCCTCTCCCTGTCTATGTGATTTGGATGCTT